GTAGGAAAGTGACTGAAGCCGAGATGCCAATAAGTGAATCTTATGCGAGAGAAGAAACTGTTAGCATAGAACTTACGGTTACATCTAGCCATTTCAAGTGTAAAATGATGAGACCTTTCTGCCAATCTAGTACTGCACTTAAATTCATAAAGTCTGTGTACCATAGTGAAAAGAAGAATTAGCATGAAATTATTTAAAGGAAAGGCAAAAGAAAAGCTACATTATGGTGGTAGGAAAGTGACTGAAGCCGAGATGCCAATAAGTGAATCTTATGCGAGAGAAGAAACTGTTAGCATAGAACTTACGGTTACATCTAGCCATTTCAAGTGTAAAATGATGAGACCTTTCTGCCAATCTAGTACTGCACTTAAATTCATAAAGTCTGTGTACCATAGTGAAAAGAAGAATTAGTATGAAATTATTTAAAGGAAAGGCAAAGGAAAGCTACATTATGGTGGTAGGAAAGTGACTGAAGCCGAGATGCCAATAAGTGAATCTTATGCGAGAGAAGAAACTGTTAGCATAGAACTTACGGTTACATCTAGCCATTTCAAGTGTAAAATGATGAGACCTTGCCACCAATCTAGTACTGCACTTAAATTCATAAAGTCTATGTACCAAAGTGAAAAGAAGAATTAGTATGAAATTATTTAAAGGAAAGGCAAGGGAAAGCTACATTATGGTGGTAGGAAAGTGACTGAAGCCGAGATGCCAATAAGTGAATCTTATGCGAGAGAAGAAACTGTTAGTATAGAAGTTACGGTTACATCTAGCCATTTCAAGTGTAAAATGATGAGACCTTTCTGCCAATCTAGTACTGCACTTAAATTCATAAAGTCTATGTACCATAGTGAAAAGAAGAATTAGCATGAAATTATTTAAAGGAAAGGCAAAGGAAAGCTACATTATGGTGGTAGGAAAGTGACTGAAGCCGAGATGCCAATAAGTGAATCTTATGCGAGAGAAGAAACTGTTAGTATAGAACTTACGGTTACATCTAGCCATTTCAAGTGTAAAATGATGAGACCTTGCCATCAATCTAGTACTGCACTTAAATTCATAAAGTCTATGTACCAAAGTGAAAAGAAGAATTAGTATGAAATTATTTAAAGGAAAGGCAAAGGAAAGCTACATTATGGTGGTAGGAAAGTGACTGAATCCGAGATGCCAATAAGTGAATCTTATGCGAGAGAAGAAACTGTTAGTATAGAACTTACGGTTACATCTAGCCATTTCAAGTGTAAAATGATGAGACCTTGCCACCAATCTAGTACTGCACTTAAATTCATAAAGTCTATGTACCATAGTGAAAAGAAGAATTAGTATGAAATTATTTAAAGGAAAGGCAAAGGAAAGCTACATTATGGTGGTAGGAAAGTGACTGAAGCCGAGATGCCAATAAGTGAATCTTATGCGAGAGAAGAAACTGTTAGTATAGAACTTACGGTTACATCTAGCCATTTCAAGTGTAAAATGATGAGACCTTGCCACCAATCTAGTACTGCACTTAAATTCATAAAGTCTATGTACCATAGTGAAAAGAAGAATTAGTATGAAATTATTTAAAGGAAAGGCAAAGGAAAGCTACATTATGGTGGTAGGAAAGTGACTGAAGCCGAGATGCCAATAAGTGAATCTTATGCGAGAGAAGAAACTGTTAGTATAGAACTTACGGTTACATCTAGCCATTTCAAGTGTAAAATGATGAGACCTTGCCATCAATCTAGTACTGCACTTAAATTCATAAAGTCTATGTACCAAAGTGAAAAGAAGAATTAGTATGAAATTATTTAAAGGAAAGGCAAAGGAAAGCTACATTATGGTGGTAGGAAAGTGACTGAATCCGAGATGCCAATAAGTGAATCTTATGCGAGAGAAGAAACTGTTAGTATAGAACTTACGGTTACATCTAGCCATTTCAAGTGTAAAATGATGAGACCTTGCCACCAATCTAGTACTGCACTTAAATTCATAAAGTCTATGTACCATAGTGAAAAGAAGAATTAGCATGAAATTATTTAAAGGAAAGGCAAAGAAAAGCTACATTATGGTGGTAGGAAAGTGATTGAAGCCGAGACGACAATAAGTTAATCTTATGTGAGAGAAGAAGAAAACTGCGTTATGGTGATAGGAAAATAACTGAAAGCGAGTTAACAGGTTTGTCTTCAGGTTTTATCAAGAATTTCTAAATATATAGCACGAACACCAGACCAGATGTAGCAGCAATATTCAAATAAGGACTAATTATAAATATGTAAGATAGATTCTATCAAGAAAAATTGTCTAGCATGTCACAGAGAACCAACTTTCCTAGAAACGGACGTAGCAATTGTCTCAATATAATCTTTCGACTTCATGTCGACAGAAAACATTAGTCTGAAAAGGTACAATGAGTCAACCATGCTGATGAGAGATAAAAAAGCGTTCTTTCAAATGAATAAGAAAGTAGCTCTGTATTAGAGCCGTTAAAATTAACAAGCCATTCCTTGCCCCAGTTAACATTTGGTTCTTTTTTTCCTTCTTATTGTTTTATTTTTTTACCTTGAACATACTTTTTTATATATATATAATTTCTTACTCTTTCTTTTTTGTTATTGAATAGTTTCAAAATATTTGCTTTTACGTTTACGAAATTCTCTTTGAAAAACTTCATTTTTAGAGTCGTTTTCTTTTCCTTTTATGTATCTTTTTTGTTAGATTTTTTAAATATATTTTTTCTTTTTCTTTTTCTTCCTTCTTTCATTCTTTCAATAATAATATCAAGTTTTCACTTATTAGCTTACGAAATTTTAGTCTTATTTTTAGCTTTTCTTTCTTATTTAATATTTACAATAAATCCGATTATTTTCTTTCAAATTTCCGTTTTTTGCTGCAATTCTTTTTGCTGCAATTCTTTTTGCTGCAATTCTTTTTGCTGCAATTCTTTTAGCCTGGGTTTTTGTGCTTTTTTCATATTTGAAATATAATTATCTTTCTTTCTTTAATATTTTCCAGATTTCCACTTTGGTTACGAAGTTTCTTTTTTCCTACTTGAATGTTTACCTTCAATTTCCTTTCTTTAATGTGTTTTCATGATTGCCGCTTTTCTTATTAGCTTACAAGATTCATTTCTCGAGCTTTCCTTTTTATATTCTAATTTTCTTTTATACTTTCTTTCATGCTTCCATTCTTTCTTTCTATCGTGTTCGTACCTCATTTCTTATTTTTCTTCTTTCTTTCTTACTTTCTTTTCTACTTTCTTTCTTTCCTTCTTTCTTTCCTTCTTTCTTTCTTTCATTCTTTCTTTATTTCTTATTTTTCTCCTTTCTGTCTTCCTTTCTTTCTTTCTTATTTCTCTCCTTTCTTTCTTTCTTTCTTTCTTTCTTTCTTCTATCTTTCCTTCTTTCTTTCTTTCTTTCTTTCTTATTTTTTCCATTCTTTCTTTCTTTCTTTCTTTCTTTCTTTCTTCTACCTTTCTTTCTTTCGTCTACCTTTCCTTCTTTCTTTCTTTATTTCTTATTTTTCTCCATTCTTTCTTTCTTTCTTTCTTTCTTTCTTTCTGTAAATACTTTTAATACTTAATTCCTTTTCGTTTTTTAATCCTTTATCCGTTCTTCTTTCTTTTTTACTTTCTTTCATAGTTTTCGTTTATTCTCGTTTTTTAATAATTAATATATTCTTTCTTTCTTTGTTTTTTCTCTTTCTTTCTTTCTTTCTTTCTTTCTTTACTTCTTTCTTTCTTTTATTTCTTTATTTTTTATTTTTCTCCTTTCTGTCTTCCTTCCTTTTTTCTTTCCTTCTTTCTTCCTTTTTTTCTTTCTTTCTTATTTTTCTCCTTTCTTTCTTTCTTTCTTTCTTTCTTTCTTTCTTTCTTTCTTTCTTTCTTTCTTTCTTTCTTTCTTTCTCCTTCCATACTTTCTTTCATTATTCTTCCTTTCTCTTCTTTTTTTCTTTTCTTTCAACTTTCTTTCTTTCTCTCTTTTTTCCGTCTCTTCATTTTTTTCCTTATTTCTTTCCACCATTTTCCGTACCTTATTCATTCTCGTTATTTTAATCATTTATATATTATTTTTTCTTTCTGTCTTTCTTCTTTCATTCCTTCATTTCCTTCGTTCTTTCACATTTCCTCCTTTCTTTTTCTCTTTCTTTCTTTTTTCTGTCTATCCGTCTTTCTTTTTATCATTTTCATACTTCATTCATTCTCATTTTTATTTTTTATTTCTCTTTCTTTCTTTCTTTTTATCATTTTGCATTTCTTTCCATCGTTTTCATTCTCATTTCCTTTTTTTTAACCTTTTATTTATTCTGAATTCTTTCTTTTTCTTTTCTCTTCTTTCTTTTTTTCTCTCTTCTTACTTTGCTTGTTTCTTTCCATCGTTTTCATACTTCATATCCTCCTGTTTTTTTTAACCTTTTATTTATTCTGAATGTCATTCTTTCATTCTTTCTTTCTTTCTTTCTTTTCTCTCTTCTTACTTTTGCTTGTTTCTTTCCATCGTTTTCATACTTCATATCCTCCTGTTTTTTAACCTTTTATTTATTCTGAATGTCATTCTTTCATTCTTTCTTTCTTTCTTTCTTTTTCTCTTCTTACTTTGCTTGTTTCTTTCCATCGTTTTCATACTTCATATCCTCCTGTTTTTTTTAACCTTTTATTTATTCTGAATGTCATTCTTTCATTCTTTCTTTCTTTCTTTTTTTCTCTCTTCTTACTTTTGCTTGTTTCTTTCCATCGTTTTCATACTTCATATCCTCCTGTTTTTTAACCTTTTATTTATTCTGAATGTCATTCTTTCATTCTTTCTTTCTTTCTTTCTTTTCTCTCTTCTTACTTTGCTTGTTTCTTTTCCATCGTTTTCATACTTCATATCCTCCTGTTTTTTAACCTTTTATTTATTCTGAATGTCATTCTTTCATTCTTTCTTTCTTTCTTTCTTTTCTCTCTTCTTACTTTGCTTGTTTCTTTCCATCGTTTTCATACTTCATATCCTCCTGTTTTTTTAACCTTTTATTTATTCTGAATGTCATTCTTTCATTCTTTCTTTCTTTCTTTCTTTTCTCTCTTCTTACTTTGCTTGTTTCTTTCCATCGTTTTCATACTTCATATCCTCCTGTTTTTTTAACCTTTTATTTATTCTGAATGTCATTCTTTCATTCTTTCTTTCTTTCTTTCTTTTCTCTCTTCTTACTTTGCTTGTTTCTTTCCATCGTTTTCATACTTCATATCCTCCTGTTTTTTTAACCTTTTATTTTTTGAATGTCATTCTTTTTCTTTCTTTCTTTCTTTCTTTCTTTTTTTCTTTCTTTACTTGTTTCTTTCCAGATATTTCCATATCCTCCTGTTTTTTAACCTTTCTTTCTTTCTTTCTTTCTTTTCTTTCTTTCTTTTTACTTTCAGCATTCTTTTTCTGACCCTCTTTATTTTTCTTTATGCATTTCTGATATTTCTCTTCTTTCTTTCCTTCTTTTTTCTTTCTTTCTTTTTTCTTGCTTTAATGACATTTTAGTTTTACTTATTTTCACATTTGTATTGTTATCTTCATTCTTTCTTTCTGTTTTTAACCCCCCCCCCCAGCCAGACACTATATTTCTTCTTTCTTTCTGTCACTCTTTCTACACCTGTCTTGTACATATGTTTGCAATTTCTCGTTCCTTATTTTCGTGTTTATTCCTTCACTCCCCAACTCCTCTTCTCTTTCCATCATGAATTCCTTCCCGTTTTTCTAAAATTTTCTTTCCTTCGTTATTAAATAAATATTCTTCTTTTCTTTACAGTGAGTGAAACAATACAAATAAAAGATTTCACTGATTCATAATAATATTCGCCATGAGTTCTGAAGCGTTGAATAAAGGCAAAATTCTGCTCACATTGAGAATAATTAATATCGGTCAGTTTTGCTTTTGAAGTTTTCCGATTCTTTATTCGATTAAGAAAATTCTTTCTCACGATTTCATTATTTTTTTTTCTTTCTTGATATTTTCATTATTCCTTTTCTTTTTTTGTTGATGAAATATAACATTATTTTCGCTTTCTTTCTTTCTACCTAACTTGCTAGATGGTTACATCATTCTGTTTGTATCTATCTATCTATCTATCTATCTATCTATCTATCTATCTATCTATCAAAGGCTGTTTATATCTATCTATCTATCTATCTATCTATCTATCTATCTATCTATCTATCTATCTATCAAAGGCTGTTTATATCTATCTATCTATCTATCTATCTATCTATCTATCTATCTATCTATCTATCTATCTATCTATCTATCTATCACTTTGTCCAGATCTATCTATCTATCTATCTATCTATCTATCTATCTATCTATCTATCTATCTATCTATCTATCTAAGGCTGTTTATATCTATCTATCTATCTATCTATCTATCTATCTATCTATCTATCTATCTATCACTTTGTCCAGATCTATCAAAGGCTGTTTATATCTATCTATCTATCTATCTATCTATCTATCTATCTATCTATCTATCTATCTATCTATCTATCTATCTATCTATGACTTTGTCCAGATCTATCTATCTATCTATCTATCTATCTATTCATCTATCTATCTATATAAGGCTGTTTATATCTATCTATCTTCTATCTATCTATCTATCTATCTATCTATCTATCTATCTATCTATCTATCACTTTGTCCAGATCTATCAAAGGCTGTTTATATCTATCTATCTATCTATCATCTATCTATCTATCTATCTATCTATCTATCTATCAAAGGCTGTTTATATCTATCTATCTATCTATCTATCTATCTATCTATCTATCAAAGGCTGTTTATATCTATCTATCTATCTATCTATCTATCTATCTATCCCATTTTTCAAGATTTCTGCTTTTCTTATTTGTTTATGAAATTTATTTCCCTCGCGTTTCTCTTTCTATATTTTTTTAATATAATTTTCATTATAGACAAATAGTTTTCTTTCATTCTTTCTTTCTTTCTTTCTTTCTTTCTTTCTTTCTTTCATTCTTTCTTTCTTTCTTTCTTACAAGATTTCTGCTTTTTTATTCGTTCACGTGATTATTTGTCAAAGGTTTCATTTTTTTTATCTTCCTATCTTTTTCTTTATACCTTTTTCTTCCTTGTTGAAATATATATTTTCTTTTTTTTTATTTTATTTTCTTCAAGATTTCGGTATTTTTTATTTGATCACGTAATTATTTTCCATGATTTATTTTTTCTTCTTTTCTTTATACAATTTTTCTTTCCCTTGAAATAAACCTTATTCTTCTTTCTTTCTCCCCTTCTTTCTTTCTTTCTTTCTTTCTTTCTTTCTTCCAAAATTTCTGCGTTTTTATTTGTTCACGTAATTACATTTCCAAGGTTTGATTTTTTGTTTTTCATTTTTTTTCGTATTTTAAATATCATGTTTTTCTTTCTTTCTCTTTTATATCTGTTTATATTTACCGAATGTCTGGTGGGTGGGGCGGAAGCCAATCCCTCATATCGATGTCAAGTGGCATATCACTAGTTAAGATGTCACTCAGACAGACACTTCCATACGAGTACAATTATCAACGCCCTCAATTTAAAAAAAAATCATTGCTATTACTTTCTATGCATCGGCTTTATCTATCGACATATATATATATATATATATATATATATATATATATATATATATATATATATATATATATATATATATACCTGTCAATCTGCGCATTTTTAAGTGTTGGTTGTCTACTGTGGCACGATGATAAAAAAAATATTTCGACCGAGCAGTAAGCCCACTATTCAAGGGTGACTGATTACTTGTACCGTACTATATTAAGCTGGAAACGAACTATGCAACTAGTGGCTATAGTTGACGCCAGTGTTTAAGACCTCAACTTGGATGTCTGTGATGATTAACAAGCAAACAGAGTAGACAATTCTTTCTATAATTGCCTGTTCTTTGAATTAAAACTGAATAAAAGAACGGTAGAAAGCTGAATGTGGTCCAAGGACTCAAAATGTGAAGTAGCGAGGATTGAACTTTCTATCGAAGGAATGTTTAATCATCACTGGCCTCCATGTTGAGTTCGGGAATACTAGCGTCAACTATAGACACTGGATGTATTGTTCGTTCCCCATCATTGAGTGATGATCGAAATCGAATATGTTATTCAACTTGATACATCGGACGGCAAAATTTTTAAATTTAAATTTAAAACTAAAAGAAAGAAATAAAAAAAAGGAAAGAAAAGCAGACTAAGAATGTCGAAGCAAAGAAAGAAAGAAAGAAAGAAAGAAAGAAAGAAAGAAAGAAAGAAAGAAAGAAAGAAAAAGCATGAAAAGTAGCCTAAGAAATGAAGAATGTCAAAGCTAAGAGAGAAATAAATGAAGAAAAACAGACTAAGAAAGAAAGAAAGGAAGAAAAAAGAAAGAAAGAAGAAAAAGAAAGGTAAGCACACTAAGAAAGAATGTCAAAATTAAGAATTAAAGAAAGAAAGGAAGACAGAAGGAAAGAAAGTAAAAGAAAAAACACATTAACGAATGTCAAAGTTAAGAAAGAGAGAAAGAAAGAAAGAAAGAAAGAAAGAAAGAAAGAAAGAAAGAAAGAAAGAAAAAGAAAGAAAAACACACTAAGAAAGAATGTCAAAGTTAAGAAAGAAAGAAAAAATAAGAAAGAAAGAAGAGAAAAGAAAGAAAACACTAAGAAAGAATATCCAGGTTAAGAAAGAAAGAAAGAAAGAAAGAAAGAAAGAAAGAAAGAAAGAAAGAAAGAAAGAAAGAAAAACACATTAAGAACGAATGTCAAAGTTAGGAAAGAAAGAAAGAAAGAAAGAAAGAAAGAAAGACAGAAAGAAAGAAAGACAGAAAGAAAGAAAGAAAGAAAGAAAGAAAGAAAGAGAGAAAGAAAGGAATTAAAAGGTTCAAAATAATGAGAACATATTTAGAGTCCAATTACACTGCAACCATTTCTTCCTTCTCTTCACTTAATGGTGGTAGGCAAAAGGGACAAGCGACGATATAAATTGCACAGTGGGGACGTTAATATTTTTAAAGTACGTAATATAATAATAACATGTGACAATAAAACGTGTAAGAAATCTAAAGCCCAAAAGAATAGAGAAAGTGACTTTTTAGAAACTGAGAACCACATTTGGATTACAGTTCCTTTTTTTCATTTTGTCAAAAGAGTCCAGCTTCCATTGATATATAGAAGGATGCTATCCTTTCCATAAAAGTCCAGAACTATATTTTTATTTCATTCTAATCCATAATGGATCAAAAAATAACATTATCATCAAATAAAAAAGTGGATAATTTCGACAAAAGCAAAAAACAAACGGTAACCGTTTTGTAATTCTGCTCATGAAAGTCAAGAATACCATGAACATGTGACAAATGAGGAAGTTTTTAAAGAGAATAATGATGGTGTAATGGATGACAGCTCGGAATGGGAAACTGGAGAACCGAGTTCGAATTCCGGGCGGATTCATTTTATTCATTTTCGTGTAAATAACCACGGGAAAGATATGAAGCCATCTCTTCCTTTCAATGCCACTAAAGCTATGAGTTAAATAGCAGGACAGACTGGGCTCTATAGCCTTGATTGGTTAATAGTCGACTGCAGAAAAAAACGGCAAGCTACTGCTGGAAAAATCATCTGCCTAGTCAGTGATGAATCGAAAGAAACCTGATCGCCCAATCGTGTATTGCGTCTGGCATTTAACTGACTGACTGAATGCTAATATCAGCCGCTTCCTTATTCTGCATTCATTAAGAGAGCAGTCATTATAATTTTCGGTCGAAATTTATAAAACCTTTCTCGTAAAAAGTATGTCTTTAAAGAAAAGAGTTCTAGATCTTTCTAGTATTGATCTAGGTTTCCTTTCTGACCTTTTATTTGAAGATTTGTGGAATGTCAACATCTTGATTATGTCATTTTCTCTTCGAGTTACATGTGTTATCCATTTTAGTTGTTGCGGCTTTTGAAAGTCCTCAAGTAATGTGGATTCTGTTATTTCGTACAGTTCTTTGAGATTCTTTAGTGTCAGTCCACTAGGTTAAATGAAGGATGATCTTTGCCAAGAGACTCTGGCCTCCTTAACAAGACAAACCGTTGTTAGATCCGTCAGGCTTATACAATATTCAGCTTTCTGGGAAGTGTTGCAATAGAATTCATAATACGTATAAGAACAGTGAAAAGTGATTTTCCTAAATTGAGAAAAGTAATGGCAATTGTATTATTAGCCGTTTTCTGATGAGGAAACATTTAGCATTCGTTGACTGAGCAGCCAGAGTTGAATCTTATAAAATCCTTCACATTTTTTTTTTTAGGAAAACGGATTTTTCAAATCCAGTAGCTGTTATCGCTCTTTCCAATATTGGTGGCAGTTTCCTTCCTAACCTTTTATTTGAAGTAGTGTGGAATGTCAGCATCTTGATTATGTCATTATTTTCTCTTCGAGTTACATGTGTCATACATTTTTGTTGTTGCAGCTGTTGGTAGTCCTCAAGTGATGTGGTTTCTGTTATTTAGTACAGTTTTTTTGTAATTATGTGACGCTTTCAACAAGGTTCGGAAAGGATAGTTCTTGCTAGGACACATTAGCTTCATTTACTCGTATCTTTAGCATTTCTAGGCGCAAAATTGTAAATGACGTCTATTGTATTTCTCCCCCACCCCGCTATGATATATACAAGATTAAATCCTTCTATAAAATCATAATTTCACTGAAGATGTCCTTTCTAAGTATGAAACCCGTAACGTAAAAGTTTTAATTTACATTACTTACATGAAGACTATTGTCCTTATCCTTGTTGTTGTTATCACAACCTTTCGATAATTGTGAGCTCGGGCCTTCATCAGGTAAATGTTGATCCTGGTAACCTCCAGGGAATTTTGAAATGTTTTACCTTTTTCTTCAGTTCGTTATTCTAATCATTTTTTTTTTAATAATGAAATGTAATTTATTTTCTTATTTCTTTGTTTCTTTCTTTTTTCTTTCTTTTCTTTCTTTTTTCTTTCTTTTTTATCTTCTTGTTCTTTTTGTCTTTTTTCTTCCTCGTTGAAGTATAACGTTTTCCTTCCTTCCTTCCTTCCTTCCTTTCTTTCTTTCTTTCTTTCTTTTTTTCACGATTTCTGCTTTTTATTCGTTGACATGATTATCTTTTTAAAGTTTGATTTTTTATCTTTTTGTTCTTTTTTTATCTTTTTTTCTTCCTCGTTGAAATATAACGTTTTCCTTCCTTCCTTCCTTCCTTCCTTCCTTCCTTCCCTCCTTCCTTCCTTCTTTCTTTCTTTCAAAGTTTCTGCTTTTACTTTTTTCTTTCTTTTTTTTTAGATATCAGTTTCTTCTCTCTTCCTTTCTTTCTACTTTTCTTCCTTTCTTCCTTCATACTTCTCTTCCTTTCTTTTATATCTGTTTATGTTTACAATATATTTAAGGGGAACTGAAATGCCAATTTTAATCTACGGTGGTATATTCGCGCGTTCCTCTTCCCATGTCTACGGATATCCAGTCAAATTCTTAATTTTGTACTGTTTAGGGACTATTCGCCCCCACGGAGTCCAAGCACACACTGCCCGGCCCAGGGATTGAACTCACAAATCCACGATCCAACGCTTTAATCCTCTAAGACAAAAGTTTTTATTCGTTTTTCATTGAATTATTCATTATTAGTCGGTCATATAGATTTAGATATCACACCTTTCATTAACACTTATATTCTAGTAGACATTATAACGACAGAGAATCGACCTCCTGTCGCCTCGACTTCCTGTTGTCACACCCCGGTTGCTGCCAAACGACAAAGAGATTTCGAGTGTGAATTTATAAGTTCAATGTCAAAGCGATTATTTACAAAGACGCGACCATATGTCGAATAGCAAATACACAATTTAAGATGATCCAGTCCCCCTGCTTTTTTTTCTAGAGCTCCTTGATAAAATCTAAAAAAGAATTAGCAATATTAATGTCCCTGTTCAGGTGGCTCGGCTTCAGTCACTTTCCCATCGGCCTAAATTTGCCTCCCTATGCCTTTTCTTTAAATACTTTCATGGTAATTGTTCGGGCGAGTGGAGTGCG